GCCACCCTGTTCCTGAGCCAGGCCAGGATCCATTGGCCTTCTTGTCCCCCTGGGCACACTCTGGCTCCTGTTCAGCTTCCTGTCCATCCAAATCCCGGCTCCCTCCCTGCCTGGCTGCTCTCCAGCCCCTCTGTCCCCAGCCTGTAGCGCTGCAGGGGGTTCAAGGACTCTGCAGAGCTCTGTGGAATGAACCAGGCTTTGCCCAGCAGAGGCACTGACAGGAGAAGAACAAACTGGTGCTAATTCAAGAAGGAAAGGGGGAAATGAGGGATGTTTCCTCCCTCACCTCGATGTAGTAGCTGTCCGGACTCTCCCGGTAGGCAGAGGCAATGCTGGCCTGCACTGCCTGGATCCAGGCCTGGCGCAGCTTCTCCGAGTCAGCCTGCAGCATGCAGCTCCTGGAAAGGCAGGGGAGCAGTTGGGAAGAGCAAAAGGACATTTTGGTCAAGACTGTTCCCCTTCTTCCTCAGCCTGGACATCCCAGCGCGGGTAGCGAAGGGGCAAAAATTAATCCTGCAAGTTTGCACTGTCAGGGCTGTTCCCTCTTCAGACACTGACAGGTGCACTACCTAGATGTATATTAGGTATAATATATAATATATAACATATAATTTGGCTTGTGTAACGTATCAGCTGGAATCCATAAGCTAGATTCAGTTATGCTGGTGTCTGACAAACTTCCCAGGGACCCTGGAGCACAGGCAACGGCATCTCCCAGCCACAATTTAACAGCCCAGGGCAGCATCTGCTCCAATCCCATCTCTTGCAGCTCCATGCACAGCCCAGCTCCCACGAGGATGGCCTGGGGAAGCCACCAAACTCACTTGGTAGGTGAGACCACCTCGAAGCAGAACCTCCTCTCTATGTCTTCACAGGGCTTGACGGTGCAGAGCCGCAGGTCCTCCACCACCACCGTGAGCACATCCTGCAAGGGGGAGAATAGGGGCCTTGAGGGCTCCTGAATCCGTGTCACAGCCCAGAAAACTCCTTCCCAAACCCTGCTGTTGGCACAGAGTGCAGAGAGGGCAGAGTCAGCCCAGCCCAACCCTCCAGGGCTGTGGGAAGGGGTTATATGGAATGAAAAGCACAGGGCAACACGTACATGGCAGGTTTGCTGGGGACCCCACCAACTTCCTCAGCTGAACAGGAAAGTTTAATCTAAATAAACATTTATTTAACAAACCCCATCTGCTGACACTTCACTCTCAGCACAGTCTAACCTTGGCCACAGTAATGGGCTTGCTGTCCCTCTGATCCTTCCACCCCTCTCCCCACCACGGAGCAGGAGTCCCCAGCAAAGCAGGACACCAGAGCAGTTGGCTTATCCTCTGGGGTCATCTGGGGCAGCCTCACTGACCTTTAGCTTTTTCTGGTACACCAGCTGGCTGTTCTGTATGGAGAACCACCTCCTGAGGGAAGACAGACAGACAGACATCAGGACAGGCAAACTGCAGAGCTACAGAGAGGCAGCTTGTGGCAGAGCAGGATGTTTCCCTTTATATCTCCATTTAAAAGGAGGATAATTTATTTAGCAACCTGATCACCTTCGTGGAGGGCAAAGGAAGCCACGACCACCACGAAGTTTTCAGGAAGAAGGTTCTGGAACACCTGAACAGAAGGAGTCTGAGGGTTGCAGCAGGGGGTTACTGAGAGCATGTATGACATAATCAGCTGGAAAAAGAATGAGGGGAAAATGAGATGAGACAGGATTCCCTTTCTCTTGTCACGGCTGAAATATTAAACTGATAAAAGAGAACAAAAGGACTTGATGTGTCTGTGGAGAAATGGGAAAATACAGGTGACTGGAGGCCATCCCATCCATCTGGGAGCACTCTGTGACAGCTGCAGGCTCTGCTCAGCTCCTCAGAATGATCCTTGTGGGTCCATTCCAGCTCAGGATATTCTGGGATTCCACGAGGATTTTGCTGCTCCCGTGAGGGGGAGGCTCTGCCAGAGGGGCTGAGCTCAGCGAGGAGGTGATGAGTGGGCTCCAGGAGCTGGGAATAGCTGAGCTGTGGGCAGAACTGGCTGAGGGTGGGTGGGATTGAAGAGATGGATATAGCTGGGGGGAGGCTGCTGCCTCTGTGTGACTGGGGTGTAGGAGGATAACTGGGATTTGAGGGCACGGAAAACTTGGAGCCCTTGACGCCGACGTTACTTCAGATATCAGGAAAAACAGTCCCAGAGGGGCATTTTCCCTCCAGGGTGAGTGCCCTTTGGAGTGACCCATGAATGCACAGCCAGGGGAGCTGCAAGGAGAAGGGAGTTGCCTGGAATTGTTCCTCTCCATCCCAAAAGCCAAGCACAGGTCTCAGCATTAACCTGCCAGGCTTTGGAAGGACATTCTGCTACACAGAAACACAGGGGGGCAGGGACAGCAGCCACACTGTGGACCAAGGCTGGACTCTGCTCAAGGGACACCAAGCAGGGAATCCTAAAAAGGTGATAAAAATTCAGCTAAGGTACCTTCCCAGAGCACTGAGCTCAAACACTGCTGCACTGGTTCCTCCAAGTGCAAACTTAGTCCTTGACTGTCAGGGGATCAGAGAGCCTGAGGGCTGAGAAATTACCCTAAATTTGTCTGGAATCTCCTCAGCACTCAGGGAAGCTTCAAAGAGAAGGAGCTGCTTATCTGGCCAATTCAGAAATCTTTAATAATTCCAAGTCTTTTTTTCCATGCAAATACAGGCAGTTTCTGTGCATACCACAAACTGTTCACTGAAGCATTTAGTGCTTATTTATTCCAAAGCCTAACAGCAGCACATTCCAGTATCCTCTGCATGCATCCCACAGCCAAGTAAAAGATCTTTTAATATTCTATCATTTCCCTGTTATGTGAGAGGAGGAAATGTAGGTCAGACCAGCATTGATCTCATGCATTAGAAACCCACTGGAAGGGTTTGAATCCTTTTGTACCACCGTCTGTGAAACCCACTGACTGTCTCAAGGGAAAACTAAACATAGAAATATCGACCAGGGGGAGAACATGAAACCTTTTCTTCCACTTTCCAAGGTCTCTGGCAGCTGCAGAGGCTCCTGGCTGGTGCAGGAGGCAGATGAGCCAGGCATTCCCAGGGAGCTATCAGATGAAATATGGATAAATTATTAAGAGCAGGGTCAGGGCACTGAAAGCCATTTCTCAGCTCCTGGCAGCACACTTGATATTTCCACTCTCACAGATGTCCCTGTCCCAAAACAGGCAGGTTTGACACTCCTGGCACATCCTGCTGGGTTCTGGTGTCTCTCTTAATTGTTATAAATGGGCAGCTTTCCCAGGGCAAGCCTTGAGCTGCACTGTGCCCTCTCCTCCCTGAAAAGAACCTGCTCCTTCTCCCATCATGGAAGGCACTAAAACTGCAGAAACTCTCAAACCAACCTCACTTTTAGCTATTTTAACTACTCAGCTTTTAACTACTTGGCTCAGAATCCTTCCAGTGATGGTAACAGTCAGTCAGAGCTCACTAAAGGGAGGTGTGTTCCTGTGCAGAGTCTCAGCCCAAATATCAAATGGAATATGGGTTCTTGCTCACCTATTCCATGTTTTGAAAGCATTGCTGGCTCTCTTGAAGAGGTAACCTTCCATCACCACTCCATTTGGGGCGTCCACATTGAACTCCACCTTCGAGTCATCGTAGGAGAAGTCCTGGAAAACAGAGAGAGCCTGAGCCTCTGGCATGGCTGCATTCCTGGGGCCATCTGGATCATCTCTAGGTGGAGATGAGTCTGATCAAACCATCAGGAAGAGAAAAACATCTGTCAGAAGCCCGAGGTTCAGGCAGAGCTGCCTGTCACAGCACATCCTCTGCCTTCGTGGGCTGCAGCCATGGAGAGCAGTCAGGAATTACCCCCATTCCAGTGAGTTTATCCATCCCTGCTCTTTGCAGGAAGGCACTGGACACGCTGCATTTTCCTCCTCTGGTAGCTGGTAAGGAGAAAGGCAGGTGAGGGCTAAAAACTCCCAATATTTGGGTCAGCCTGCAGTGGGAAATAAAGCACGAGGTGCTTTTTTTCACTGGCCAAGTGAGGCAGCAAAGCTGCTGCCACCCCTCTGTGCTGCAAGGGGCCAGGAGGAGAGCAAACCCCAGCCTTTCCACACAAGGAAAACGTGCTGATTTCTGGAGGGGCAGAGTTATCAGTGCCATGCTCATGAGCTATCCTCAGATGCCATCTCCAGCCTGCACCCTCTCCCTGCTCCGTGCTGTGCCACCAGTCAGAGCTGATTTGTCAGCTCGGCACCGACTCACCAGGGAGAGCTCATGGCTTCTGACAGCTGACACAGAGCAGAGGGAATAGCAGCTGCTCTCCAGAACGTGGGATCTGCCTCCCTGGGCCATGGGCTGCCTCCTTCCCAGGAGAAACTGGGTCATGGAACAGCGACAACTTCCCCTCCAACCTGGGGAACCGAGGCACGTTGCTCACTGACTGCACCCTAATCATCCACCCCACCCACACCTCCCTCTCTCCAGAGCAAATGTTTCCCCCTGTGCACCTCGGTTCAAAGGCACAGCAGTGCAAACAGCCCCATCAGCTGCCTCCCCTGGCTCAGCAGACCCCGGTGATGCCGTGTTGCCAGGCAACATGCACTTGGCTCTCATTAAGATGAGTTATTTCCACGCTCAAGAGAGATGCAAACGTGCCTGGGAGGTGTCAGGACAGGAATAACAGTGATCCAGAAGGAGGAGATCCAATGGGACAGGCCACAGTGACTCCTTGGAAAGGCAGCATGATGCCCAATTAGCCACTGGAAAGTGCTGCAAGGCACCCAATTAAGAGGGCTCTGCTCAGCTCCAAATTTCCTTGCCCTAAGAGGGTGAATCCCACAGGGCTCCTCTTCTGCAGATGTCTATCATGTCCATGTTGCAAACAAAGGCTGGAGGGAATTTTCCTCCAAATCAGTGTGTGATTTTTTGCAGAGCTGTTCCAAAGTGACAATTCTGTGTATTTGATGAGAATCTGCACTGATTTATGATAAATAATGCAAACAGCTGAAAACCTGGACCTTGATGAAGAGTTGGGGGGCGAAATGCTTCCAAAAAACATCTTAAAAATGACCATTTAGCTGTGCCTCACTCACCTTGTGGAATTGGGGAAAAAAATCAGGGGGAGGGTCTAGTTCTAATCTCCTGACTTCTTCAGCTGCCCTTATCAAGCAGAGTGGTGGTAAGGAGGATCTGCTGCTGGGGAGTGCAGGAGGAACAGATGGGCCACCTACGTCAGTGGGTAAATCCACTGAAAAGCAGTGGAGTCAAGCCAGGTGTGAATTTAACCTCATTTAAGCTGGATTGGAGCACACCTCTACCAATTAAATGGCTGGAGCTGCACAGCTGAAGGCACATGGAGCTGTTCCCTGCCTTGGAAGGAACTCTGCCCCACACCAAGGCCAGTTTGAGAAGGTTACACCCCAACCCACCAAGGGTACACACAGCTGGGATGACTCAGCCGAGGTCCCCGGGCCAAATTCTGCTCATATTTCTGCTGCTGGGAGTCCTGAGCAACCCCAGTGCTACCCACAGGACTCCTGGAGGGCAGCTGAGGGCAGAACAGTCACCAGGGCTGGAGGTTGGATTTGTAAAGCGAGTCCAAATCAAGGGAGAGATCTGAGGGAGAAGGACCAGCCTGCCCAGCACCCCCAGGCACGAGGCCTCAGGGCCACTTTGTTCCATTCCACTGCACTGGGCTTAAAAGAACTCAAAGTCTTTGCTGCAAAGTCATTGGGAGTGTTGAAAGCCAAAGGGAGGGAAAGCAGAGGGTGAGGAAAATCCAGAATTTACGCCCATGATCGATATGATTTCTCCTTTCTCAGCCAGGCAAAGGGCAGAGATGGCTCAGAAAGGCAAAGCCAAGGCAAGTGCAGTTGTGAAACCTCCAGCACAGCAGAGTGAGCCTGAAGGATGGCCTGACCCATGGATTCCTACACACAGCTTCTGCTCCAGCCCATCCAAGGAACCTTCTTACCACAGCCATTGGAAGAGAGGACAAATCCCTGGAAAAGGGAGTTACAGGAACATCTGTTGAATGTGATTCCAAGTCAGAGCCAGCTCAGACTCTGCCTGACGAGATCATGCTGGTGATGGGACCCCATGGTGGGTGTGCCCACTGCTGGAGGCACAGATGTGTGACAGGCAATCCCTGCCCCTAATGTGCCCCTGTATCTGTTCCATTCCTTGGCACAAAGGGATTTTGATCCTTTTTTAGTTCTGGGGAATCAGTGGAAGGGCCCTGGCTGAGACACTGCCCCTGCCCAGCACAGCATCAGCTCTGCCTCCAGTCTCTGTGACTCCCCCAGGGATGCAGTGGAGAGCACATCTCATGCCTCCTCCTTCTCCTAGAGATTTTAATGCATGATTTTAACCAACAACCTCCTGCTGAATTCACCCCCTCACTGCAACAGGACACACAGAGCAGGCAAGTCTGTCCTAAGTGAGCCTGGACTGATTTATTAAGCCTGCATTTAGCACCTCATTGTCTCTGCAAGGAGAACAAATGCTTGACACAGGAAAAGGCTTCCCAGGACAGGGATCTGAATGGCTTTGGCTCCAGCAGCATGTGCAGGCAGGATCAGAACAGCAGTGACATGTTGGATCACACCCTGCTACGAGAAATCGGACGCCTTCCAAAATAAGACACCAGGACTCTGCCATCATCTGCTTCCCTTTCCCTCCCTGACTGCCAGTAAATCACAGCAACCCCGCTCACTGTCCCCTCCTGTCACTCCCAGTTCACCCACCAGGCTGCCTGGGAACTGATATTCTTTTGGAAAGGCCACCACGATGGTTTCCATGGGAACTGCTGGAGCAACAGCGAAGTCACACAACACATTCCGAGAGACACGTCCAGAGAGGAGGGGGGGGAGAAAGGACATTAATGTGGATGCTTCCAAACCAGCAAATGGAAATTAAAAACCCCAGCACAGGGCATGGACAGACTCAGGAAAGGATAAAAAAAGAAAAGGGGATGGGGGCAAAAAAGAAAGGGAAATCCTAATTTGAAGGTGGCCTCGTGGCCCACCCAGAACTCCCCAGTCCAGCAAGAGGCCAGCCAAGCTCCTCCAATTCCTCCTCAGAAATGAGCATTTCATGCAGAGAAAACGGCTGATTAAATTAAATAGCCCTCCAGCATCAGTGAGCAGATGGAATATGAAGAGTGAAGCTGCCCCTCAACAGCCTGGAATCTTTGGGGGAGAGAATCTTCCAGGGAAGGAGCCCCCCTGCCTAAGAGCATTCCCACTGAAGGAGGAAGGTCTCACCATTAGGTTCATTCCTATCCCAAAAAGCACAACCCCTGGCTGAAAACAGGTAGGACCTTTCTTCTAAAATACCAAGACTTCCTTAAAAGTCTTTAAAAGAAATACAATCACTAGGGCAATGGCTCTGCCTGGAAAAGTCACAGCATTATTCCCTCAGTTATCAATTCAGCACGGAAATAACATCACTCTCTTTTTTTCTACAATATTTTGGTTTTCACTGATAGAAAACACTGTCAAACCTAAGCAAGCACGAGCAGGGACTCATTTCAGTTCTTAGATACTCAAAGAAATGTCTCTTACTACCAAACCTCCATATTATTTTCTTTTCCATCAATACCATTTAGGATAAGCACCAACACATGCTTTCCCTCTTAGGAGACAAAGGCTTTCATCCAAAAGTGCCTTCTTGGGCATCCAGTGATGCTCAATATTCACAATAACATCAGGCACATTAACAACATCCATGCATTGAACACAACTCCTGGAGGCCAGTTGGAAATTGTGCCTGGTTTGGCTGTTTGATTGCCAAGAAAACCCAATTCCAAGGAGTATTCCCATTCCCTAAGGATGCACACACCCCCCTCCACACACACCCCAGTGCCTGCACTTGGTCTTCTCTCCTGGTGCCTGTTTGGATCTCAGGCTTTGCTCTCTCTGGCTCTTTTCCCCTCTCTGCCTGTGCCGTGTCCAACCCCAGCCCCTCGGAGCAGATGGAATTTGGAGGAGGGCTCCTCCACCTCCGATCCCGCTCTGCTCAGACAGCTTCCACCCATCCTGGCCAAATCCCAGTGGCAGATCTTTTGTTTCTCGACTTTCCTAATGCCAAACGCTCTCCCTGGCAGGAGATGATGCCCAGAGCCCCGTGCCCTGCCCCAGAGCCCTCCCAGCCCGCAGACAGGACCCGAAAATTCGCAGCAGCACAACGCGGTTTGTTTGGGGTCCCACCAGCGAGCAAGGCGCAATTCCCAAGGGAAAAGGGAACCCTAAACCTGCTCCCCCGAGCCCAGGCATCCCTGCAGGAGTGTCCTTACCAGGAGGTACTCGAGCCTGCCGAAAATCTTCATGCTGCAGCTGCGAGGGAGGCTCTGCTGCTCCCGCCCTGCAGAGCTGAGCTCTCCTTCTCTAGAGCAGCATCTCTGCTCAGCACCGGGGGCTGGCGAGGAAGGAGGGATTTCTTTCACAGCCCCTTCTCCTTTACCCCTCCTCCTTTTCTTTTTTTTTATTTTTGGGAAGCTCCAAGCTCTGCCTTCAGCCCCTGGCAGAGCGAGGGGGCTCCGGGAGGCTGCTGGTCCCTGGGGACCACCCGCTGGCCCCCTCCCCGAGCCTCCTATTCAGGGGCAATCAGCTTAGAGCAGGGGCTAATTACCATACAGCTGGCAGGAGAAGCCAGGCAGCACAGAGCTGAGCTGACAGCAGGATGCTCACCCGGTGCCTCCCTGACCTTAACAGAGCCAGGCTTGTCTGCTTTTCCCTGGGATCTGCTTCCCCAGCTCCTGGAGCAGGGCCACCCTCGGGCCAGTCATTCCAGCCACGGGATTCAGGGGGTTGAGGTGCCATCTGGCCCCTGGTTTGTTATCCACCAGCTGGGCTAAATGAGGCAGAGAGCTCTGCCTTGGCACCCCACATGGGCAACAGAGAGGCACGACTGCTTCCCAAACTGCTCCGGGCTGGGAAAGGTGTGAGGCTGGAAAGGAGCTTCTATATAGCCCTTGGAATCACATACAGTGATTATATAGCCCTTGGAATCAATCACATATAGTGATTATATAGCCCTTGGAATCACATATAGTGATTAAATAGTTCTTGGAATCACAAGATCAATGAAGTTGGAAAAGTCCTTTAACACCACCAAGCCCAACTCTTAGCCCAGCACAGTGTTCACCCCCAAACCACGTCCCCAAGTGCCACATCCCCACGGTTCTGAGCACTCCCAGTGATCCCACCCCTGTTCCCATGCCCAGCCACCTTTCAGTGGAGAAATTTTCCCTCATATCCAATCCAACATCTCCCACTTTTAGAGCCAGGACTCTCAGTTTTGGTGCAGTGGAAGGATTCGGGAGGAAGGACTGGTTTAAACATCATCATCCTTTCTCTACCCTTTTGTCACTATGAAAAATTCCCAGGTTTGCCTTTTCCAGATTACCTGAATTACAGCAGCAAACAAAACAGTCAAGATTTGTGATGAGCTTTTCTTTCCCACCAGATTCATTTAAATTAAATCAATAATGAAACAAAATGCCACAGACCATTTCCTTACAAACTGGGCTCTCAGGAGGCTTCCCCCACACCTCACAAAGCTGTCCAAGGACAATTCCCTGCCTTCAGCATCTGCACAGCTCCCACCCCTCCAAAAACACTTCAAAATGTATTATTTAACCCAGATTTCCTGGGTTAAAGGAAGTCTGTTTGGGAAGACACTAGTGAGGAAAAGATTATATTTATGGCACCACTCTAATTAAGCACAACTAAATCTCCACATTTTTCAAGGGACCAGAGGGTTTTGTGGGCTCAGCAGGACGATATATATTCAATTAAATGCTGTGGGGAATTAGGGGAATTGGGGACCCTGCTCCATCACAAAGGGAAGAGCAGCACAGACTCAGAGCAGCTGAAAAGCAGCTCATAAAAGAGTCCCAGGCAGGAAGCTCGAAATCCTAAATTGCAGTGAGGATGTTCAGCTCTCTCAGCCCCAGGAAGGGACTGGAGTGAAAGGCCCTGCCCTGGAGAGCTTTTCCACGTCCCCTTGGATGAAGTCATCACTCCAGCAGAGTCCCAGGGGACCTGAGGGCTCACAAATGGACTCTCCCCCTCCCTCAGAACACTTCAGCAGAGGCAGCACATGCCCAGGCCATTCCCAGGGCACAGCACTCAGCAGCTTTCAAAGCTGGTTCTGTCCCCATCTCGAGGGTTATGACATTTTTTGGAGAGAGAGAGCATTAGAGAGGAAACAACAGCCACTTCAAATTCCTTCTGTGCAGAAGTATTGATCCACACAAGTGCCTGCCAGACACACACTCCTCCCACCAGAGCCAGCAAAGGCTCCAGGCACCAAAAACACACCAGGAACTGCTGCCACTGCAACACTGAGTCACAGCTGAGCATCACACAGAGCACAGGCAGCCAAAACCTTCTTCTAGCACAGGGCTGAAAACCAATTTGATGAGGGTGAAACCCAATTTACTTAAAACTGGGCTTTAAAAATGACATTTCCAGCTTGGGTGACACCACTGATGCCACACCAAGGCTTCTTGGTGTTGCTTTCAAAGGCAGCACAATAAATATTGTAAATATCTGGTAAATATTGTAAATATCTGGTAAATATTGTAAATATCTGGTAAATATCGTAAATATCTGGTAAATATCGTAAATATCTGGTAAATATCGTAAATATCTGGTAAATATCGTAAATATCTGGTAAATATCGTAAATATCTGGTAAATATCGTAAATATCTGGTAAATATCGTAAATATCTGGTAAATATCGTAAATATCTGGTAAATATCGTAAATATCTGGTAAATATTGTAAATATCTGGTAAATATCGTAAATATCTGGTAAATATTGTAAATATCTGGTAAATATTGTAAATATCTGGTAAATATTGTAAATATCTGGTAAATATCCAGAGCAGCAAGTTCTGAGAAATAAAGATGCCAGAAGAAGGAAATACATGTGGGTACTCACCTGTAGGAGGGTCTGCAGGGCCAGGCCAGCAGTCCAGGAGGAAGAGAAGGAAAAGAAAAAATAAGTAATTAGTCGATATTTCTGCAAGCCTCAGACTGACACCCCTGCAGTGAAGTGTGAGCTCCCTGGGCCTGAAGGAAAGGCAAGTCCTGCCTGTGGGTGCCACAGGGGCATCCCCTCGTCCATCTGCTGGATGATTTCACAGGGACTCTGCCCATCTGGGTGGGTTGGGCACCCGGGAGTGCTGCCAGGCTGCTGCCTCACCATGGGCAAGGCAGGGAGAGGTGGCAGGGACACCCCAGTGCTGGCTGGAGATCACACAGCTGGTGGGCTAAAAGCTGGTTTGCCCAGCCAGGGCAAGGATGTGAGGCTGGGGGAGAGGAGAGGGAAAGGAAGGGTGGGATAAAAGGCTCTAATATCTCCCCAAAAACCAGCTCTGCTCTGCAGCCCTTTCCACAGGCGATTCCAAACCACTGCATCCACTCCTCCACCTCAGAGACATCCACAGAGCAACATTTAAAGAACGATCCCCATGCCCTCGGCAGCAAAGAGGGAGACAAAGTGAGCAGGAAGGTTTGCTCAGAGGCACAGCAGGTCAGTGGCAGAGCTGGGAAACCCCCCCTGGTGCCCTGGCAAGGGGGGTCCTGCCTGTGCCCATCTCCCTTCCATGAGTCAGTGGCTGAACATCCTGCCTTTGATCCCAGCACCCCCGGGGTTATCCCTCATCTCCAGGCTGGGAAGGCCTGACCCAGCAAGGCCCCTCCCCAGCTGGCAGCTCCCACCGGGATCCAGGTGGACACAAGTGCTGCTGGCACCAGGCTGCAGCCCCAGGACTCACCCTTTGCTGGATCAGGGCGTGTTTGTGCTCCATCTCCCTCTTCTCCACGGCAGAATCGATCACCAGCTGGTCCAGCTAAAGGCAGGGAGAAGGACAAACAGGCAGAAGAGTCAGGAAGGAGGTCTGTGAGCCATTGTCCTGCTCTGGGGTCACACCAGCCCTTCCTAACATCCCCACCAGAAGGGAACAGGCTGTGTCTGGGTGTGCACTGAGCGACCACAGCCCTTGGCTGTCACCCCACAAGTGTCACCCCAGCCAGCCTCCATGCTCCAACCACTCCCTGATGTGTGGGAACAGGAAAAAGGGACGTGCTTTCCCCCTCTCAGACATTCCCTGTGGCCTCACCTCCGTGGCCAGCTTCTTCATGTAGGGATCCAGCTCGTGGAGCAGAGTGTAGCCCTGCTGGAAGAAGGTGTACTGGGCATGCATGAAGGACAGCATCTGGGGAGGGAACAACAGCAGGGTCACAACAGGTTCTGGGACAAAATGAGGTGTGAAAAGCCCTAATCCCTTTTTACCCACAAAACTAGGTCTAACTTTCCCTTCCCAAAGCAATCTCTCCATTAGATGCCTCTCCCTCTTCTCCTTTCTTCCTCTCACAATTCCTTCCGCCTGCTGTGAGCACAAAGCAGAAAAGGAGTGTCCTGCACCCCTGAAAATTCCCCCCCTGGGGAGGATCCTGCTGGCCCTCCAGCTCCCCTCTGTTGCCATACCTGCAGCCCCCAGAGCAGTGCCAACAGTATCTCCAGGGCAGGCAGCCGGTATGTGGAGCCCTGCAACCTGAAATGGAGAGGGGCTGCCTTGCATGGGCTCACTGAGAGCAGCCCCAGGAAACACAGGGAGCCCTTACCGCGTCCAGGATCTCAAACTTCTTCTTGGCCTGCAGCACGTTGATCTGGGGAGGAACCAGGACACAAATCTCAGCACCAGCCTGGCTTGGAGAGCCATGAGCAGCCTGCTGGGACAGCCCTCTGGGCTGTGATACCCCCAGCAGCACCCACAGAGCATCCCCTGCACAATTCCAGAGTAAAGTTCCCCAGTAAAGGCAGTTCTGAGGAGTTCCAGGTGGGATAAAAATGCCTTTTCTGACCTGGGCTGCTCCAAGGTCACTGGGGGTGGATGTCTGCACACAGGCTGGAACAAACAGTGACCCCAGGGTGCCCTTTGGTGCCAAGTGAAGGAAATGTTCAACTTATCAGGTCACTGATAAATTGATAAATCAGGTCACTGAAAATTTCTTCGAGCGGGTACCACATTATGGATATAAAAGAATAAAATAACTCTCCTCATTGAACCCTTAATTAAACACCAAAGGATACCTGGGCAAGTTCATGGCTGCACATTTCAAAACTGAAGGGGACCAACAGAGAAACCTCCCCAGCAATGCATCAGCACAATCAAGGAATTCTCCCTCTTCGTCAGTGGGAGAAATGGAGGGAGCTTATTATGGAGTGACCTCACCAGGAAATAAAGATGTAAAAAAATGGCAGTGCTAGAGCACCAACAACATGCATGATTTATACTTTGAGGGGAAAGCATTGCCCAGAGGATAGGACACCAGAGACTGTCTCCTGGTCAGGCAGAACTGTCAGCAGATGGTCTGAGCTGATGCTGCAGCAGTGACAGCTCGTGGGGACACACAGGCAGCAGTGGTAACACTGAATTTCTCTGCTTAACCCACCCACTGCCTGAGAGCACAGACCTGCCAGGAAAGCTATGAAGGATTCAAAGTCAAACCCCTGACCACTCTGTGGGAGCAGGGAGTGAGTGTTCCTGGAGGAAATCCCTGCTGGGAATGGAAATTCAGTCTGAGCCACTTTATTTCTCTTACTGAAAAAAAAAAAATAGTTTCATTTCTCTAACTGAAAAAAAAAAAAAAAAAAGATTTTTCTTCTCAGGAATGAAAACACATCCTAAGGACTCCCTGCCTCAGGGGGCAGAGGGCAAAAGGGATCAGCAATCCCTGTTGAACGCAGCAGGAAGACCCCTACTTGTCCCTTTGTCCCTTGTTCTGCACTGGGAGGCCCAGTGGGAACTGGGAGGGGGGCACTGCCACCAACCTGCAACACGTAGTCCAGGGCCAGGTGCCTGAAACACTTCCTGGTGATGGTCAAGGTGCCCGTGGCCTCCTCCACCTCGTGGGGTTTGTGCCGGGGGGCCTGGGCGTTCTTCACCAGCGAGATCTCCATGTCCTCCCGCACCTTGTCGAACTGCTTCTTGGTCTCCTTGAACTTCCTGACGTCACTGGAACCCAGAGGGGGACAGAAATCACTGTCACAGAGCAGCCAGAACATCCCTGACACCAGGGCATGGAGAGGTGCAACGAGCCACACTGGGGTCACTCCCAGATCCTGCTGAGGATGCCACTGGGATTCTAAACCACCCCTCCAAGCACCAGATTAAACCAAGTCTTTCTTCAGAGGCAACTGGTAATCAAACTCAATGACCTCAGAGGTCTTTTCCAACCTAGTTGATTCTGTGATTCTGTGAAAGACACTGCTCTTTCCACACTGCCTTCAAAGCCTTCAGGAAATTCTCCCCAGATGGCATCCAGAGAGCCAGGCCAGGTGGCCCCCAGCCCCAAACACAGGCCACAGTTACTCCTCAGAACAACTGAGGAGCAGCACATTTGAGAACCCACCTGCACAAACACGTGTTTCATGTTTCACCCCGTGAAAAGAGTAAAATCAGCTATTTTCAAACTCAGTTCAGGGCATTGAGGGCAGCCAGGCCATCCATGTGAGTCTCAAGCTGATTCTGTCTTGCCTGACTGTGAAATCCAGGTATTTTTTGGCTATTCTTTTCCCCTTGCACAACAGGCACATTTATTAACATTTGCATTCAGAAATACATGACCCTTTCAAGGTTTTAGTTATGCCCAGAGACTTCATAAAGGATCAGGGTCTGCTTTGCAGAGGGGGCTGTAAAGACACAGTGACAGGCAGATTTTTTTTTTAGTTTTGTTGATTATTTTTTTTAAATCAGCAGGTACTACTCGGGCAGGACTTGATTTGAGCTGCATGACCCTGAAGATCAGCTCTTAAAAGCAGCCCTGGTTCCTCAGGAGTTGAAGTAGCAATGCTGATTTACAGCAGCTCTACCACAAACACTTCTTTTCTGTCCAGGGGAGCTCAGTTTATCTCATTTATAAACTGTTATAAAGTAGTTACAAGCTGTTAGTAAACAGCAGCACCCACTTATTCTTTACCCTGGGGGGGAGATGAAGAGCCTTGGCTGAGCAGGACAAACACTAAATGCTGAACTCTGCCCTAGGGCAAACTGTTGGGAATTGCAAATCCCTATGTATGGATGAGCCTCTGGCCAAGAGAATCTGCCCTGGCCAGGTACAGGAGGGATAAATGAACACAGAGGGGACTGGATTAGTGTTCAGGTGGTTGTTACTCATCCACATCACCCTCAGTGCTCAGAGCTGCTGAGTTATAGGGAAAAAGAAAAAAGGGCACTTTTTGCAGTTTGGGGTCATTTGCAGCAAAGGGTTGTGGGGATTTTACATCATTTTATATCAATTTATATCATTTGGGATCCAGCTTTGGAGGGAATGGCTTCTTCCTCTGGGCATGTCCCCATGGAGAGGAGCAGGGATAAGGGATCCTGCTGGAAAGGCTCAGCTCCAACAGCAGCACCACCACAGCCTCGAGATTGAGCTCACAAACCCCTCCTGCTCAGCAAGGTCTGTGGTTTGGGAAGGTGCTAAAAGAGCATTTGGCTGCTGACACCAGGCCAGGGCAAGCTGACCCTCCTGTGTGACCCCATAAATAAACCAGGAAAGGAGCAGCAAGGCTTGGGGACAGGCAGGGCAGGCAGAGGGCAAGCACTGCCTGGATCACCACGCAGGGCACAGTTCCCGTTGCTGCTTTGTTCCCAGCATCAGCCAGGAAGCTGCAGATTGCTCCTAAAAATGGTCCCAAGCCTGGAGTTTATGTTTCAACCCGGGGCAGGAGCACTGCAAATGTCAAAGCTGCAGGGCCTGCGAGTGCAGAGCTTGAGCAGCACAAAAGAAGGAGTTGGGAAGATGGTGAAAGGACCACAGAGCCAAACCCAAGGTGGAAATTCCCCCTTCCCAGCACGAGCCTTAAGCAGATTAAATCTGAGCTCGTCAGAGAAATGATTATGAAGATAGTGGGGGTAGGGGGAGTGCAGGGCAAGAAGATGGGGCTGAGGAATTGGGGGGGGGGTCAGCCAGGGACCCCCTCCCTCCATCAGAGCACCCAGCTGCTGAGGGATTCAGCCCGTTCCCATGGCAACCAGCTCCTGCTTAGTGAAGACCTCAGTTGCCTCTCTGACCTATATTTGCTGCTGTGGGATCCCTGCACCAGGGACCTGCCCTGGGGAAAAGAGGCACTCAGGAAATGTGGGAATGCAGCAGGGACAGCCTGGATCCCAGGGACACACTGTCCCCATCCAATTAACTGGCTGGGCCCGGTCCTGCAGCACCCCAGGGAGTTAACAGCCTTAATGGGACATGTTCTGCTCACCCCAGGGCACTGCAAACCTGCTTCCCATTAGCAAATGGCTCTGAAGGGGTGGTCAAGCTCCAGGCTGAGGGCACAGGGCTGGTCAGCTGCTCCCTGCACACAGAGAAGGGCTCCCACATCTGTCACCTCCCACAGAGATGCTCAGGTTACTCCAGAAGAGCAGGGATGCTCTGATTTCGTGAGGCTTTGTGGGCAGCAAAACCACAACGATTCTGCTGCACCCCAAAGCCAGCTGGTAGCACAGTCCCTTCCTTCTGCACTGGTTCAAACCACTGCATGGAGTCTGAGACAACACAAGATGCAGAGCAGGCAGGGATCTGAGCTCTGGGATGGGTTTGACCTGGAGGATCAGCTCTCAGATGGACTTTGGGATAAAAGTCCAGCTTTAACTCCAGAGCTGGGAACAGGATGGAGAAATCTGGTTGCCAACAGAGCGACCAAGTGACAGTGCACCAAAATCACACAAACCAGACCCTTCCCTCTGCCCTCCAGTGTCATCCTGCTCCAAATTCAGCCGCTGGGCAGAGGTGGTGGTTCTGTTCCCAGCACACACAGGACACGTGCAATGGAAGCTGAAGAAGCTGAAGACTAAACAGACAAGACAAGCACTCACTCTTTCACAAAGTTGTGCAGCTGCTGCCGGACTGACCTCTGAGCCTGGTCAAACAGGATCTGAAAGAGAGGAGGGGGAAGAAATTCAAACGTTTTGCAACACGGAAACTTCGAGGAGACAGAAAGTTCATAACCACTCTTGAGGAGCTTCGGTGGGAGGGACTCAGCATCACTCCAGGGCTTGGGGGTGTCCATTTCTTGCTGCCTGTCACAATAGATAATACCTTTTCCCACAGCTGCAGCACTCCCTTATCCCTGCAGAATTCCACAGGCTGTGCCAGGGGTGGGAATCTCACAGAGACACCTATGCCCCCGACATACTTCCATAAGAAGAGATGGTGCTCTTCCATGGAGCAGTTGCCTTTATATCCCTGTTTTGAACAGTCCCGAGTCTCGAATTCCTCATTTTGCCAGAGGAGGGCACTGGTACCTCAACTCTACATCCAGGGAAGGACAGAACAACCGGGAACATCCCAACAGCCACACGCTGGGGAGAGGTCCAAGTACACGGCAAAAAGAGAGACTCGGTTCTTAAAAACCTTTTAAATTTTACTCTCCTTTACAAGATAAATTATCCCTACACCCTCACTCCCCCTCCTGAGCCAGGCAGGGGAGAAAGTAAGATGGAAAAGCTCACAGAGTGAGACAAGTACAGGGAGATCACCCACCAGCTGCCATCACGGGCCAAAGAGACTTGACTGGGGGAAAGACTGATTAAAATGATTGCCAAATAAAAACAGACAGTGAGATACACGACCAAAACTAAACCCACGACCCCCAGCCTGAGCAGTTCTCTGTCCTCACACAGAAGAGATCTTGGCAGAACGTGCCAGGACTGGCTGAGCATAAACAGCCTCTAAATATGAACAGATGCAAAGCAAGGGGGGAAAGAAAGAAAGAAAAACCCCAAGACCACCCAGCTTTGTGTTTTTTTACCCACGTAAATTATTTACTGCTCTTGGCACCCGCTCCCTCCCTCCAGCAGCACTCCAAGAGGCACTGGCCTGGCCTGCAGCTTTTCCAATGTGGAGCTGCTTCCCTGAGTGATTTTGGGCATTGGGAGTGCTTCCCTCCACTCAGGACACCATCCAGGGATGGCAAAGCAACAAGAAACCATCTGGTTCCCACCTGCACCTCCACCTGGAGAGCTTCCAGCATTGGCTTCTGCCAGGGTGACACGTTTGCTTCGGATCAGGGAAAGGAAGGGACACGATGATGGGACTGCAGACAAGTGCCCTGGGATATTCCAGGGAATAAAAGTCAAATGAAAGGAACAGGGCTTTCCTCAGCTTGAGAAACAGCAAATCCAGGCTACACAAACTCTGCTGTGGCAGGACCAGTGTGACTGAAGCCACAGAAACCCAGGCTATTCTCTCTTATTGATGCCACACCGGGCAGTGCCACGCCCACCTTGCCATTCCTGCCTGGAAAAACGAGCTCCAAGCTGGTGCCTGGAAAGGACACACACTTGGAACAGCCCAGTAAAGCATTTGCAGGAGGACAGAATTTCCCTCCAACGATCCCAGTAGGATGCTCCAGGTCTGTGTGCAATGCTCTCCTCCTGCCACAGCAAGGGCTTGTTCTCCTGCTGCCTGGGAAGGAGAATTCACTGAGGGTTCAGTCCAAGGCTCAAAATCAGAGCTCAGAAAGCTGCTCCTTTCTGAAGCTGTTTGACTGAGAGGGAGCTGAACTCGTGGTGATCACATAAGCAGCACTGCCAAGGCACAGGGACATTGCTGTGGGGATTTTTAATTTAAATATCTCGGTATCAGGGCAGGAAAACTGCACAGAAAAGGAAGTCAGACCATATATATATATATAAAATACATATTAAAATATATTATATATTTTTATATATTTATATATATATTATATATATATATTTATATATCCATCTCCTGCTCTGTCAATACTCTGCTCCTGAGCCCCACAGCCCTGTGATGGGATTCATCCAGTGAGAGCCTGGAGCAGGGATTGCCAAGTGGTTTCTGAGGGAATCCCAGGTGATGAACGTGCCTTTCCTGCCAGCAGCATCTCTGCTGACAAGCAGCCTGATATCTGTATTACTTTGATTGCTCCAGCATTAATTTTGGCAGGCAGGATCATCACCAGGGGAACATTGTCAAGTGGGTCCTCCATTCAATTTTCAGCACAGAATAAAGAGAGTTGTAAGAGCTGGAGTTTCAAATGTATTAAAACAAAAAAAAAAAAAAGAAAAAAAGAAAAAAAAAAAAAAAGGAAAAAAAAAAGAAAAATCAACCCTTGGCTTTTTCTCCTTTCCCAGACATACTTGGAACAAATCATTTGTTTTAAGATTTTCCAGACCAAACATCACCCCACCCTCTCTGCCTTTGCTTGCACCAAGGCAGGAGAGGTCCAGCCCATGACTCACACACATCTGTGAGGAGGGTCAGTGTGTGGAACAGGGAATGAACATCCCTCTCACCCAGCAGCAGCGAGATCCTACATTTCACTTTCCCACCACGGGTTTCTGAGGCAACAGGAGAAACCCAAACCTGTGCTTTAGGAATTTCAGGCACCCCAGAAACAAAAGCAAGCCCAGCAGCTCAGCGTGTTATTCTTGGAGTTGAAGGCTATAATCAGGAGAGAAGACATCAGAGATCCAAAGGGATGCCATTCCTACAGCTCCCTGTGGAGCTTGCAGGAGGAGGGGAGATCCCAGCAGGCTCCAAAGCAAAGCAGGAGCCTAAAAAAAGTGGGATTGCCTGGCTGTGAACTGCTTCCCTCAGCACTGACTGGAACAGAGCTCAGAAATAGGACATCCCAGCTGCACTTGGGAACGGTGCCTGAGGAGAGAATGGTGGCAACAAAACCCCATTTGTGGTGGGAATTTTTCAGGGAGCAGCAGAGGCCACAGGAGCTGAGGGATAACAGGGAGGGCAGGGGTCTCACCAGCCCAGGATCACAGGACTCTCAAGCTGGGGGGATGGCACAGGTCTGAAGCTGAGCTGGGAAAAGCTGCTCCATGGGTCACAGGGAGCTCCAGGCAGATCCAGGGTGACCAAGCAGAGCCAGCACCAAGCTGGAAAAAATCAGTCCTTGAAGCTTAAATAGGTGTGGGTGAGGTGGGGCGTGGGGGCAGCCCCAGGTAAAGCTGGGCAGGGCCATCACAGCCTGTTGGTGCCCTGAGAGCCCCAGTCTGGGATGAGTTTGGGATCATGAAGGGAATCAGCCCTTCTCCTGCCCCAGCTGAGGAGAGGGAGGGTGTGGAGCTTCCTCTGCAGCTGTGGGACACATGGATGAGGGAGGCTCTCCCCTCCCCACAGTGGCCATGAGTCACACCCCAGCTCTGATCTCCCTCATGGCCAGTCTGGAGACCTCATTCCCCCCAAAACTGTCTGGGATCTGGTTTGTGCTGCATTGCAATGAGAACTGGCTGCCTGGTGGCCTGGGAATGGGAGCCTGACCCTTTTATCTGGAAAACAAGCCCAAACACCACTTCTATTCTCCATGTTGGGTGTCTGCACAGTCTAACTTCTGACCCAAGGTGAAGTTGAGTCTCTCACAAAAGGTTCAAGAGCTCCGGTTTGTGCTTAGGTTTGTGCTTTTCCTACCCCTTCCCTATTACTGCAGCTGATTCTTTCCCCTAATTAGAAAGCAGACAACCCCAGAAATTCTAGAAACCACCACAAACCGAGTCTTTCTGAACTGCAGAGCTCAGCACTGAGCTGGGCCTGACTGCACACACTGGCCCCAAACTCCAAGGGCAGCAGCTCACTGACGTTTTTTGGACTAGGGTAAAGTCCCTGCAGCAGGGGCACAGTGGCAGAACCTGGGAAGGCAGGGGGTGACAGAAGCATCCCCCCTGTCAGATGGCAGCTCTGCCTCCACAAATGCTTCCCCCTTCCCCGGTGCACCTGGACCCTTCCCAAGCGCTGTCGGGAAATGCAGGTGGTCCTCCCAGCCCCGTGGAGAACGGGCAGCTTGGAAGCACTTCCCACTTTCCCTTCCTTCTCCTTCCCCCCTGAACTGCAGCAGGACCCAGGGCCATCTGCCATCTGCCTCCCTCTGACTCATCATCACGGCTTGGGTGGCTTTTCTTCTTGTCAGCAGGAAACGCTTCCCAGCTCGCTCAGCGGAGCTAAACCTTCCCTGCAAGCTGCTCCTGCTCCTGCTGGAGGATCCCTGGGACACAGCCCCAGTGATTTATGGCAGAGGGGAAGGCTCAGGACTTAATGAAGCTCAACACAGCACTGGGGAGGGCAGTGCTCGTGTCACATCTGGGGTGGAAAGTACCCGGTGCTGCTGAAGGGGGACTGAATCCCACCACAGCAGCACTTTCACTGGCATCCTTTCCCCTTTTCTTCTCTTTCTGATCACACAGAGAAAGGAACTGCGAGGGAAAGAGAGCTGGTGTGTAAATGTGACAGGCTGGTGCTGCAGATCCTGGGATTTCCTTCCAAGGCATGTGCAGGGCTGGTGGGAAAACTGCCTTGCCAGGGGTTACTGCAGCCCCACATTCACTGCCTCTGGTCCTTGGGTAAACTGGAGCCTTCCCTTCCCTAGTTCCTGGGAAGTGGATGCTGACAGCTTTGGACAGTGTCAGTGCCAAGGGGTTGGCACAGAGCAGAGCCAGTTGTGTTTGCTTCTTACCAGGTATTTTCCTCCTGCACAAACTGAAATTTTGGGTCTAGAATGCCTGAGACTGGGGATCTTTATCCCTTAAATATCTAATGCCCAGTTGAGGATCAGACACCAGATCACTGTTGGAAAAGCTGAGTACAGCACAGGAGAGGGAAGGGACAGCCCCCTGGAGCAAAATGCTGCCTCCACAGTACAGCCACCAAAAGAAATACGTGCTCAGCATCCTGCCTGGAATGTGGCTGGAGGTGACAGGGCCTGGAATGTCACTGGGGGTGACAGGGCTGCCAGCAGGACCTTTGGCTTTTCTGCTCCCAGCATCTGCAGTGCAGGGAGGCCTCAAGAGGTCAGCATTGGATCAGCAGGAAACTCTTTTTCCCAGACACTGCTCTGAACAGAACATCCTTGGAAGTCAATTGTCCAAGACCTTCTAAGGCTGTTTTCCCTGGAGCAGCAAGGAAAATCAGCCTCCCAGCTGCAGAGCTGGGATGTTACAGCAGCACATCCTCAGGGGCTCCAGGGCAGTGCCACTCCCCAACCCACTGTCAAATCCCACACAGCCAGCTGGGGAAATCCATTCCTTGACCTCTTACTCATCATCACCATCCACCTCAGTCTGTCTGAGCCTTCCCTGTCTCCCCCTGCAAAGCCATTCCCAGGAAAAACAGGGTCAGGCAGGTTTAACACAACCAGGAGCCCAAACTTCTGAAATCCCTCACGGGGAGAGGCAGCCACTTCCAGAGGACAGCTCAGGAACTCCTGGAGCACAACTTCCAGGACCTTCTCAGCCTGCACTGCAGGCAGGAGTTCACTGGGTTGGTTTGCTTTGCTTTGGAAATGGCTTTAACTGGCCCAAAATCCAGCTGGTGCAGGCACAGAGCAGTGCCCTCTGCAATCCTGGGAGCCAGCACGAGGGAGGGATGACCAGAGCGCTGGTAAAAGTTAAAAATGGAAAGAGGGCACGTGGCTGAGAGGACACAAAAAGGCAGAGGACACTGGCTCCAGCTCTAAATCAGCTCTTGTCATCTTTCCCCTAAGGTTGCTTTGACGTTTACTCCTCCCTGTGCATTAAAAGGTGGGAATTCTCCAGAGCTCAGTGTGTTCATCTTCCACACCCAAAGCAGTTTTAAGCCTGGATTTTACTGAGCCTGAATCAGGACGAGTCCAGGCCCCGTGCTATGGCAATAAAAGTACAGAACAACTGATTTTCTTGAGGGGGGGGGATACTTTCCCTTCTTTTTAACTTGTTCCAGTTGTACAGACTGTCCTGGCCACGTTCCTGGAGTAAGCACTGACAACTGTTTCCGAGCTGAGATCCTCAGGCGTGGATGAGCCAAGACACACAGACACACACACACACACAGAGCACTAAAAATAACCCAGCTAATTGAACCCCTGTCGGAAAGGGCTGAGGATGCAGCAGTCATTCCAAAGCCATTTCCTGGACAGGCACTCACTCTGCTGCACATCAAGGGAGGAGGATGCTCTCCTGAGGCTGGGGAGGAGGGAAGGTTGAAGCACAATTCCCTGGGCACGCAGCTGGGGGTAGGGAAATGCTGGTTTGGAGAGCCCCTGAGTCACCAGGGAAGGGTGATCCCACATCTGACAGCTCTGGGAAGGGTCCTTCTGCTGCTGGGCTGGCTGAGGGAAGAGCAGTCCCTGCAAGGAGCAGGGGACCAGGGGAAGCTGCACAGCTGGTGCAGCAGAGCCTGCAGACACAGCTCTGCATCCCGAGCTTTCTGGCTGGGACTGCTCCCTCAGGGCTGGGCTGCACCACTCACCCAGCTGTGGGGCTGCACCACTCACCCAGCTGGGATGTGTGAGACAGAGACTTCAAATTTCAGGTTTGGGCACCTTCCTCTTCTGGGAGGTTTTGGATGTTTGGGATGGAGGAAGGGCAGAATTTAACTCCTCGTGTTGTGATCCCTGGAATCAAGGGGGGAGCTTCTCAGGGCTTCACATGCTCCTTGGCACAAAGGTTTTAACATCAACTTCGAGCAGCATCAGAGAATCAGGGTTTGGCTGTCTCTGCTTTGACACAAGCACAGCTTCCCTCTGATGCTCCCACTGATTTATTCCCTCTCTCCTCACCAACAGCACTGCTGCACAGCTGTTTGCTCCCAAATATTCACAGTCCCGGGAGACCTGAATGTGCAGTACCTTTTCCCTGTCATTGTTTCACTAGGAAGCAGCCCTTCCACCTGCTTCATGAAATAATTAAATGGACTTGCTGCAGCTTCTCCCCCAGCTGCACGTGGTTATCTTGCATCCCAAAAGCAAGAACTGTGCTTAATGTGCTCTGACAGGGGCACCGTGGAGGAAAGTGGGTCAGTCCAGTGCTGACACCCTGAAGCTCCTTCACTTTAAAGCACTTGTGCTTGGAGCTCTTACAGGCTTAGAGACTTCAAATTGCAGGTTTGGCAAGGAGCCACCCATTGGGCACCTTCCTCTTTGGATGTCTGGGATGGAGGAAGGGCAGAATTTAACTCCTTGGGCTCTCTTAGTGGGATTCAGCTGGCTCAGGAGAGCCACATCTGGGCACTGCCCTCCTTTGGGCTCAGTGGAGCAATGATGTGTCCTGTGTGTTAAAATCCTCCCCCCCAGAGCTGCACAGAGCTGATGCTGCTCCCAGGACAGTGCAGTGCTCTCGGACTGACCCATTCACAGCCTCACTGGTGTCCCAATGCCACAAATTTGAGCCCCAGGCTTCAGGGTCTGTTCCAAATCTGCAGTAACAAGGTTAAACATGCAGGCTGTTCACAGCCAGAGCCCAATGTGTCCTCACTACAGAATTCTCTGCCACCCAAAAAGAAGAACAAAGCATCTGGAGTGGAACCTTTGTGAGTTCTCCCTCCGAGGAAAGGGTTTCTAACCTCACCCTTCTTTGTGCAGTGTCACATAAACCAAACACAGGAGACCATCAGTCAGTGCCTCGAGGAAGAGGGTGCCAGGAGCGCCCAAAGGGACAGGAGGAAGCAGCACCTTACCATGTGGTAGTTGATCATTTCCTGCAGGCTGTCTCCGAATTTGTCGAGGCACTCCTGCAAAAAAAACAAGGTGAAGAGAACTGGCAGTGAATTGGAGCAGCTGCTCTGCATTCCCAGGGGTGCAGGGGCTGAGGGGGGGCTCTCATGAAGCCTCTGAAGAGCCACTCTGAGTTTGGCAAGGAGGCATTTCACCATGCTGGAGCCATAGGCTGCCTGTCCTTTGCAGTTCAGTGCTGGAATCAACGTGTCTGTTGTCTCTTGCTGGGCTGGTTCCCCACGTTTCCTGCACCACTGATGCTCACTGACCTAGATTCCAACAACCTTGCCAGCACTGTGCTTCTTAAAAGTCCAGATCTGCCTGCAAACAACGAACCTCACTCTGACCTTTCAGCTCTGCCTGATCAGACAGTCTCCACACCCCTCCAAAAATAAAACCTCACTCTGAACGGCTGCTCAAACAGCAGAGGGGTCTTGGAGGTGTGATCCATTCACAGCAGCAGGAAGCTGGACACTCCCCAGCCCTCCCTGTGTGCCATGCTCCATCCCAGGGGTGGGATGCTCCCTCCCAGGGGGGGATGACTTACCGAAATCATCTCATCCTTCTTGCACTGCTGCGACAGGTCCCGGACGCCGCTGACAAAGTGCTTGTTGGTGGTGATGTAGACTTTGCCTGCTTCAATCATCCCACTGCAGAGCTTCACCAGCTGCACAGGGACATTCCACCACATGGAATTACAACCAGCTCGGCTTTAAGGACCCAGCCCACAACCCCAGAACCCTCACACTCCTGCACTGACAGCCCCTCACTGCCCGTGGCTCAAACAGGGCTGCAAATCCCCCCTCGTGCTGCCCAAATCCCCCCTGTCACTCAGGGACAGCAATTCCAGGCTCTCTCCTGAGGACAGCCTGCTTTTTCCAGTCGGTTTCTCCTGCTCATTCTATCCTGAGGCATCAGGGGTGCAGTGAAAGGAACCTGATCCCACAGGCTGGTCGGGCAGGATCAAGGACTGACTCCTCAGTGCTCAGTGAATGTGATAAACTGTGGAAAATGCAGGGAGCATGCTGTTCTTTGGGATTGCTGAGCCTCAGAGCCCAGCTGACTGTTCTGGGTACTGGTGTGTACTGGTGGAGACTTGTTTTTCCCCTGGAATGAGGGGAAGCTAAAATTCAGCAGCTGAGCAGCCAGGGAAGATCTGTGTTCCCTCACATGCAGGTGAAACCATCAAGGCTGTGGGCAACTCTGAATTATTCCCACAATTCTGCAGCCCTGGAAAGCTTTGCCCTGGGAAGGATTACAGGTTATAACTCTGGACCAACTGTGACTTGGTCCAGACTTTCTGATGGGCCTTGGAAAGGGCCTTGTCACAGTGACATTACCAGTGAAGTTACCTGGAACTGGCAGCAAAACAGGGTGTCTTCCCACTCTGGAATTTGCTGCAGCACAAGGACACGTCTCCAGACAGCCTTTCTTAACTTTTGATAGTTTAACAGCTGCAGGAAACATTCCCAGACTTCCCAAGCCACAGCAAAGTGCCTTAGCACGCCTGGAACTGGCTCTAAGCTTTAGTTTAGCCAGAATTCCTGGCCATTAGCCTATCTCCTGTCAGCCAAAGCTCCTTGTAAGAGGCTGTGTTAAACAACTTAAGATAAATCCATAAACCAAAGGCCCAAGAGGTTTGCAGCAGTAAGGGCTGGGCCACTGAGCAAAAACCTTGAAATCTTTTTGGTTTGCTCGATTTTTGCTTGTTTTACCTCATCACCCTTCTGGGCTTCTAAACTGAGTGAAAGAGTGATGAAGAGCAACACTTGGAAAGCAAGTTTTCCAGTCTCAAAATCCAGCAGCTTTTCAGGGATAATAATTCTACTAAATGAAAGAATGGCTTTAGGAATCTTTGCCTGTCAACCAGCCTCAGGTACAGGCTGGGAATGAGGAGCTGTCAAGCCTGGTTTGATGCCAAAGCCCCGTGTGCTGTTTTGGGGCTTGGGGCTTGTTCTGTTTATGCAGCCCCAGGGCTCTGGGGTCTGTTCTAGATGTGGAATTGCAGAATTGCCTGGGCAGTTCTGTAAAAATACAGCTGAGTACATCAATGTACAGATATATCTGCAGCCACCTGTGGTGTATCTGTGCACACATCACATTTTCAGCCCTCACTCTCACACCCTCCCCTGCCCCTGCACTTTGGCTGTGAGCAGATTTGCACATCCCATCCAAACCCAGGGAAGGAAAGCAAACAGATGCAGTCCCTGTCCCATCTGGAGCCCAGACTTGCACCGGGGGTTTGGACGGATCCCATGGAAAGGAAATCCTCGGATTCACTGAGCCCAGAGATCCCTGGAGAAGTTAAATACCTCTGAGACCCTGCACCTCTGCCCTGCTCTTGGTAAACTTGGTTAGAAAAAGAAGTAAAACCCTGTGCTTTTAAAGGGACTGGAGGGAAGAGCTGATGCTTTCAAATTTGCAGCCCAACTGGCACCTCCAGGAGGCACCAGGGAATGATGGAGCCTTTTTCTTTTGGAACACAGGGAGGAGTCACAGTCATTTCTCACCAGGTGTTTTCCTCCTGCACAAACTGAAATTTTGGGTCTAGAATGCCTGAGACTGGGGATCCTTATCCCTTAAATATCTAATGCCCAATTGAGGATCAGACACCAGATCCCTGTTGGAAAAACTGAGTACAGCACAGGAGAGGGAAGGGACAGCCCCCCTGGAGCAAAATGCTGCCTCCACAGTACAGCCACCAAAAGAAATACGTGCTCAGCATCCTGCCTGGAATGTGGCTGGAGTGGGGCTGCAGTTCCTGTCCCATCTGGAGCCCAGACGTGCACGGGGGGTTTGGACGGATCCCGAGGAAAGGAAATCCAGCCCCTCCTGCAACGTGGCGCTTTCCAGCCTGACCTCTGAGCAAACAGCCCCGGCCAAGGCTGTGTCACCAGGAGCTGAGGGCCAAGGCAGCACAACCTCAGCCCCAAGGGGAGCAGTGGACATGGAGCACGGCAGAAAATTAAGGGAATCTCTCTGCGACAGCCGCCGAGCCCGGATCTCTGGGTGAATCACTTACACTGCCTTTCACTCCCACTTAAGCAGGTGTTAAAAGGCTAATAATTTATAAACTAAGCACTCAGGGGCACAGCAAGAGGCGGAGGAACAGTCAGGCCTTGGCAGTTTGCTGCTCTGTAAGAACCAGCCCTGCCAACTGTTTGGGTACCACTGCCCAAGGTGCCCACCAAGCCCTGGAAAGGCTGCCCTGGGCAGAGGAGAGGAGCTGGGCCATCCAAGGGTGATTTGTTGGGAGAGGGGGTGATTGAATCTGGTTTAAATTTACCCTCAAAGATCTAGTTAAAAGTCCAGTGGCTCTTGAGATGCAAACTCCAGCAGCCCCTGCCCTGGAGCCAAGCCTGATAAACCCATTGCTGACAGTGACCGAGCTCTTGCACTTCCACCCTCATCCTCCTCCCTCCAGGGCTGTTCCTGGCACACCCAGTCATTTACCTGGCATCAACAGGGCCAGAACCAGAGTAGTTTTCACCTTTTTCTTCAGGGCCTCAGCTTGGAGGGGAACAGACAACCCAAACCCCTGTGCAGCTCTCCCCAGTGACACCAGTCAGCTCGTGCACACAACCACTTTAAGCAGCTCGATCAGTAAATAGGTTTTGTAGGACACAGCTTTGCCTAGGGCTTGTGGCTTCAACAAAGCCCATTTCTCCATCAGATGCAGGAGTTTTATCCCTTGTGAGCTCTGAGGGGGGATCTCACAGATAAAAAGCAAACAGCTCTTCTGGCTCGTCTTCGTCATTGCTCTCTGTTCTCCTTCAGAAGCAACTCGGCTGATGTCTCTGGCAGCAGGAGGAGTGGGGGTGGAAAAGCCACCTCCCACCACAAACTTAGATCCAAACTACCAGCTGGAGGTAAAGAATCCCCAGCACCAGTGCAAAATGGCCAAACTGGTCCCCGAGAGGGGATTTCCAGCGTCAGATTCCAGCTGCAGTCTGAAGGTGGCCCTTGGTGACCTGCAATGTCTCCTCACTGTCCCCACAGCTGGCACAGTGCTGTGAGGGCACCAAACACCTCCTGCCCCACTGATATCACAGGTAAGAAGGTGGAGAGGGGAGCAAACAGCACTGACAGACCTTGCCACAGCAGTGTCAGTCCCCTGGGATCCAGGAGCAGAACAAGAAGCCCCACATTCCCCATCAGGAGCCTTCTGCTCCTCCTCCCATCCCTCTGGCAGTCACAGAGAGGCCCTGCCAGGTACCTGTCAGCAGAGGGAGACCTGGTCCTGGTGACAAGCCCAGTGGATTCAACATTAGCTCCCTGGCAGCTGGAGATGGGCTCAGGTTTTAGAGGAGGCTCAGGGACTCCTCAGCCCCTCCTCAGACACTGCCCTGAGCTGCCCCGCCTCACCTTGTCAAGCTTTGCCTCGATCTCCACCACATCTGTCTCCACCTCATCGATGGTTGCCCTGCAATCAAACAGCAAAAAGGGATAATTAGTTAACTGATGGCTTGTGGTGATTGGGAAAGGAAGTAGTAGGTGGGTCAGGATCAGAGGGGCTGAGCTGGGAGTGCTGGAGGGGACAGGGGGAGGGATTGCTGTCCCCACTTCAGTTTCCTGCTGCTACACACACTCAGGACTGAATTCCTCAGGAGAAGGAGGATCACACCTCAGGAATGAATTCCACAGGGCTGAGGAAAGAGATGGGGATTATTTTATCTCCTGCCAGTGCCGTGGAGAAATTCAGGTGGGCTGTGGCAGCCACCCCCAGCAAAGTCATTCAGTGTTCTGACTCTGCAGGCAGTGCTGCTAATTGGTAGCAATGCTAATTAACACAGAAACAACCACTGTTCCACCTCACCATCCATTCCCACCAGGCACGAATTCCTTGTCCCAGCACCACCAACCCCCATTTCCAGGCTGTAACTGTGCCTGAAGTGCAGCCACGTGGCAAATTATGCCCTTTGAACCTCAGGAACCACCACTCCAGCAGAGCAGAGACACATCTTGGCCCTTTAGTCACCCAACAAACACCACAAGACTCTTTCACACACGTGGGGCTTTCCTTGGATAGGGAGGAATCTGCTCCACGATTGCTGGGACTGTTCTCTCCCCACGTCACTGGACAGATGTGACAGCAAGAGGCCATTGGAATCCAGCTGCAGAGGTCACCAGGCCTCCCCCACCGAGTGAAATATTAACATGACATCAGGCATTTGCAAGAGGCATTCCCAGACTCAGGCATGTGCTGTGGAATGACTTTTTGGAGGCACTGCAAACCTGGGAGTGTTCCCCGGCAGAGCTGCTCCACTGGGATGGTTGTTCCTGTAACCACACACCTGGAAATGTGGTCAAACCTCACCCAGGGCATTCAGTCCCAAATCTCACCCTGCAAGGAGCTTCTGAACTTGGTGGGCTTGCAATTTTAAAAGGCTGGTTCCTGAAATGTCACGCTTGGGTTTTAAAAAAATAAAATCCAGCCCTGAACAGGAATGACAGAGGAGAGAATCCATCCTGCTCCCAGCAAAAGGACAGGACACCCCCAGAGCAAAGGGAACAGCAAAACTGTGCCCCTGGGGCTCTTGCTGTCTTCACTGACAGCCCAGGGATATTCTCCAGCAGACTGAAAAAGCACTTCAACACTTATCCCACCCTCTTCCCTCTCCAGAATCCAACCTCCCCCCCCCCTCAGCCTTCCATCATCCAGCCTGGAAATGAAATCCTGGTGCCTCTCAACGGGAGCAGAGCCTGCCTCATGCCCGGGGCTCTGGCCACGATCGATCTGCTACCAGCTCTTTGAAAAGCCAGCCAAAAAAAGAAGCCTCTCTCTCTCTCTCTCTCTCTCTCTCTTCCAAATAATGCTGCTCTCTCCAGCCTTCCTGCCTCCCATATGGCTGCCCCACACAAATGGCAGCCTGGATGTGCCCTGGGGGGGGACAAAGCTTTGGAGAGAAAAGGAATAATTAAAGAGCTTCTTTCAGGCAATTTTTTATTTATTTTTTTTCCCTGTCTGTCTCTCTCTCTCTCTCTCTCTCTCTCTCTCTCTCTCTCAGCTATTTTTGTTCTCTGGGTTTGGGAGTCGTGTGCCTTCATGCATCTCCCTCTTACTTGCCAGATTCAATTTTTCCACTTGGTTTTCTCCGTGCTTCTGATAGCTGGACACAAAAAACCAGCTTAAAAAATATATATATATATATATATTAAAAAAAAAAAAAAAAGAGAGAGAGCTGGGATTTCTGGGGATGCTTTTCTTTTCAGGAAAGCAGGAGCAGCCATTGTTTAATCTGCAGAGGCGAGTCTGGCAGCATATTTCCTGCCAGAAGGTGGAGAGAGTATAATTTACTCCCCATTTTTATCATAACACATGGAAAGGAGTCGATATATTTGGACTTTGTGGAGGAGGAAGACATTTTGGGTCTGGTATCTGCTAAGGGATGAATACAACTGCCTATGGCTGGGAGAGCACGAAATCTGAACTTTATATTTGCTGGGTGGACTCAGTGTGAAAGGTTCCAAGTGTTTGATTTCAGGGATGGTGATCTGAGGGACTTACTCGGCTCCAGGACTGGGATGGAGTTCCAGCTTCCTCACGGGGAGCAAAACTGAACTTTTATCCCTCCTTTCCAGATCCATGGGGCTTTTATATCCCAGTGAAGACCCTGGGGAGGTGAACTATGAGGCTGAGATGTTGCTGGGGGTGGTGCAGCCAGACATTCATTTTGGATAAGCTGGAAGTGGAAGACAAAAGGACCCCAGTCCTCCATCCTAACTCCTCCCATGTGTCTTTTCCCACAGTCCTGGTCTTGTTGGCCCGAGATTTTTCTTCCTGCATCCTGACCCTTTGCATCCCAGGGCCTGATCAACACCTGATTTCCCATCCTTCAAGGGTACAACATGCCTAAGTTCCATGGAGTCCAAAATGTCCTTATCCTGCTCCCTGATGGCAGTTCCAGAGCCCACTGATCCTGCTTCCCTAGAAAAATAACAGCTTCCAGTGCAACTCCCCGCAGAACACAAGCACCGGGCTAAAGCCTCTGCCAACCCCAAATTCCCAAATTGAAATCCTCCCACTCTTCCACCAGCGTGTCACAGCTACAAGGCAAAGCCCTCTCAGTTACACAACGGGCTGGGAACCTGGAATGACTCCCTGGGGATGAGTAAATGCCAGCTCAGCAGTGCTGAGCTCCCAGCGCTCCATCCCGAGGGAATCCAGCAGGGAGACGAGCAGGGGTGGGAAGTGGCCCAGATGATCCCCAGCCAGCCCACACGCCACGTCCACAGCGCTTGTGCCTTCTGACACAGGCAGGGGAGCCCAGGCAGGGGAGGCAGCTGCCCTGGGATGCTCAGCACACGCTCTCCCAGCTGCAGGAATCCCGCTGGGAAACCGAGGGATTCTCCCAAGAGGGAACTGAATCCCTTGGCCAGCAAAAAAAAAAAGTAAAATAAAATAAAAAATAATAAATAAATAAAGCCAAGTGCCAGTGGCTGGGCAGCTCAGAGCAGTCGTAGTCATGGCCTGGCTGGGTGCCCTCTGTGTTTCCTGGTGCTCTTCCTGCTCATGCCCTGCCAGCCCTTGGGCCGTTTCCGTCAGGAGGGGAGAGAAAACAATCCCCGGCCTCATCTGCTCTAGTGGAGCCCTTCCAGCTGAAGAGATGAGGCTTGGGTTTCCTCACCCAGAGAAAGCAGCAATTCCCCACAGTCCAGAGGGCTCTGCACTGTGCCTTTTTTCTTTTGTCCTTCAAAGGATCCCACTCAGAAGAGGGATTTTTACGGGACTAAAATCTCACTGGAAGTGTTTTTACACCCCACAGGGGCAGGAATGATGAGCTGTGCTGCTGTCAGAGCATCACATCTGCCCTGCACCTCCCTCTGCCTTGTCCTACCCACAGTCCCAGCCAAAGAAACACCAGCAAAAGAAACACTTGCCTCCAAAAAAAGCGATTAATGCGAAGTCCGCCGGAAAACTGTTGTGGAAATCAAGTCATTGGCACCACAAGCTGAGTGGGAGAAATGTGGGAGCCTAAGACTGGAGTTTATATAAGCTATATAAGTCTATATAAGTTTATATGTGCTTGGAGTGCAGCTGGGAGGACAGGGCTGGCAGAGGAGGATGGACAAAACCAGAGGGAAATGCCACCCTGACTGAGGGCACTGGCTGGGATGGGTCCCTTTTTAGCTGGATTATCATTAATTATCATGAATCACCGTTTGCTCCTGTAACAAGAGAGATGGATGAGGACTGGAGCAACGAGCAGCCCAACACAGAAATCATCCCTGAGCCTCAACTTCCCCATTGCTGAACTGCTAAACACTGGCTTCCCAGGGAGACTGTGAGTATCCAGGGATGAATCCACGCCTGGCAAGTGCTGGGGATGCTCAGGTGACACGAGCTGACTACAGCAAAGCCCAGCCATGTCTTCAATTAATGAACCTCAGCATTAAATAATCTCATGTTACCACAGCTGAGGCGTGGAGTGATCACCAGGCATTGCTCAGAGAGGCCTGGCTGCATTTTTCCCATTGCTTTTTCTCCCTGCTGGAACAGTGGTTGGGGCTTTTTTCGTCATTTCTTTGTGAGTTGAGGGGCTCTGACACCAACACACACGTGTGCTACGTGAAGGCAGAAACCCAACACCGAGCTGGGTATTAAAAAGTAATAAAATGACCTAAAATTGCTCGGTTACCTCTGGCAACCACATGAAGAAGAGAAGCAAAGGCACACAAAGCGTAATTCTGAACTGTTGGCTGCTATAATAGTGACTTGCTTATCCCTGCAGCTGTCAAAGCAGCTCACAAAGCTGCCTTAATTAACCATGCCCTTCTTTTTCCTTGGGAAGTGCATTTGGCTTTCCTCCCTTTTCTGGCAGGGAAACTGAGGCACAATAATACAAAGACTAAAGGGTTGGGGTTTTTTTTCAGTGTTGATGTTCAGAAAAATTCTGTACTCAGCCCCCAGGTTGTCAAACTGGTCCAGTAAGGGCTCCTTTGTCCCTAAGGCACATTTAGACACAAAACCTCTCCCTACACCACACACACAAACCAGTTGCAACTTTTTACAGTCCAGCACACCTAAAAAGCACCTTGGCTTTCCCAAGTGCCACCCAAAGCAGCGCTACAGGCTGGGGACAGAGGGGCTGGAGAGCAGCCAGGCAGGGAGGGAGCTGGGAGTTTGGACTGACAGGAAGCTGAACAGGAGCCAGAGTGTGCCCAGGGGGCCAAGAAGGCCAATGGATCCTGGCCTGGCTCAGGAACAGGGTGGCCAACAGGGCCAGGGAAGTGATTCTGCCCCTGGACTCAG